TTTTTTAATTGTACAATAATACAAAATAAGAAAGAATGAGAGAGATTAATCAAGAATAAGAGAAAATAATAGACAATATTACAAAAGAAGAGAGAATAAGATACAATAAGATACAATGATTAAGAATGAGAGATAATAAGAGAGAATGAGAGAGAATAAGCAAGAATAAGAGGGAATAATAGAAAATAAGAAATAATGAATGAAAATGAGAAAGAATAAGTGAGAATAAGAGAAAATATCTGAAAGAATAATAGAAAATGAAGGAGAATGAGTGAGAATAATAGAGAATGAGTGAAATTTTGAGAGGATAAGAGATAAAAAGAAAGAATAAGAGAAAATTAGAGTTAATGTGGAGAATGAGAGAGAATAAGCAAGAATAAGAGAAAATTATAGACAATAATATAAAATAAGAGAGAATAAGTGGGAATAAGAGAGAATGTGTGAGAATGGGATACAATAAGAGAGAATAAAAGAGATTGAGAGACAATGAAAGAATAAGGGGCAATAATAGAAAATAAGAGATAATGAGAGAAAATGAGAAAGAATAAGATGAAATAAGGCATTAAGAAAAATGAGAGAGAATGAGAGACATTAAGAGAAAATAAAAGAAAATATTAGAAAATGACAGAAAACGATATACAAAAAGAGATAATAAAATATAATAAGAAATAATGCTAAACCAGGAGAGAAAATAAACGAAAATATGAGTGAATAAGAGAGAATAAGAGAAAATGAGTGAAAATAAGAAAAATGACTGACGTTACGAAAGAATGAGTAAAAATAAAATAAAATGAGTGAGAATGAGAGACAATAAGAAATACTAAGAGGGAAAAGAGAAAATTATAAGAAAATAAGAGGAAATAATATAAAATAAGAGAAAATGAGAAAGAATAAGAGAGAATAAGCGAAAATAAGACATTAAGAAAGAATAAGAGACAATAAAAGAAAATGACAGAAAATGAGATACAAAAAAAAGATAATAAGAGAGAATGAGAAAGAATAAAAGAGAATAAACGAGAATAAGAGAGAATAAGCGAGAATGAGAATGAATAATAGAGAGAATGAGAAACAATTAAATTTTAAAAGTAAAATTTGAAAAAGAAAAAATCGAAACTTCACATAGAGATAGCAAAGTTGTTTGATTTTGCTCTAAATTGAAAGAAAAAGAGAGAAAAACAAATTTTATTGAAAATTGACAAAAATACTAAAGTTTGAAGTTTTCTGAGCCAATAAATCTCAATTTTTTGTACTTTTCTAGAAAACTGTGTTAACCTTTTTATTTTTGTTGTATAGAGCAGTTTCTAAAGGCAAAGTTGTTTGTTTTTGCTCCAAATTTAAGAAAAAGGATGAAAAACAAACGTTATTAAAAATTGACAAAAATACCAAAGTTTGAAAATTTCTTAGCCAAAGAATCTCAATTTTTTGTGCTTTTTTTGAAAAAGACTTATACCTTTTTTGAATTTAGTTGTACAGAACAGTGTCTAAAGGCAGAGTTGTTTGATTTTGCTCCAAATTTAAGGAAAAAGAAAGAAAAGAAAATTTTATTGTAATTTTAAAAAGATAACAAAAATTTTGAAGTTTTTAAAGTCAATAAGTCTCAATTTCTTGGTCTTTTTTTTAGAAAATGTTATAACTTTTTTAATTTTTGTTGTACAGAAATGTGTCTAAAGGAAAAGCTGTTTGCTTTTGCACATAATTTAAGGAAAAAGCAGAAATGCAAATTTTATTGTAATTTTAAATATATAACCAAACCTTAAAGTTTTTAAAATCAATAAATCTCAATTTTTTGGACTTTATTTTAGAAAATGTAATAACTTTTTTGATTTTTGTTGTACAGAAAAGTGTCTAAAGGAAAAGTTGTTTGTTATTACACAAAATTTAAGGAAAAAAGCATAAAACAAGTTTTATTGAAATTTTAAAAAAATACCAAACCTTGAATTTTTCAAAATCAATAAATCTCTATTTTTTGGACTTTCTTTTAGATAATGTAATAACTTTTTTTGATTTTTGTTGTACAGAAGAGTGTCTAAAGGAAAAGTTTTTTGTTTTCGCACAAAATTTAAGGAAAAAAGCAGAAAATCAATTTTTTTTAAGAATTGAGAAAAATACCAAGGTTTTAATTTTTCACAGCAATGAAATCACAATTTTTTGTACTTTTCGGGAAAACTGTGATAACTTTTTAATTTTTGCTGTACAGAAAAGTGTTTAAGCGCAAACTTGTTTGTTTTTGCACAAATGTAAGGAAAAAGGCAGAAAATTAAATTTGATTGGAAATTAAGAAATATACCATGATTGAAAATTTTGAGCAAAAAAAACTCAATTTTTTGTAGTTTTCTAGAAAACTGTGAAAACTTTTTTGATTTTTGTTGTACAGAAAAGTGATTAAAAGAAAAATTGTTTGTTTTTCCCCTAAATTTGAGAAAATAATAAAAAATATCAAATGTTAATGAATGAAAATGATATAGAATGAGAGATAATGAGAGACAATGAGAAAGAATAAGATGGAATAAACGAGAATAAGAGGAAATGAGTGAGAATGAGAGACAATAATACAAAATAAGAGAGCATGAGAGAGAATAAGAGAAAATAAAAGAGAATGACAGAAAATAGCAAGAAAACAAATGTTATTCAAAATTGAGAAAAGTGTCAAGGGTTGAAATACTTACCAAAAAAAATTCTCGAGTAACGTGTTTGAAGGATTTTTAGTCGATTTTTCATTTCCCAACCTACCATAAATAAAACTGAATTTAATTTAAAAATATAATAATTATTTACGTAAATAAAATAACAGTTGACGGAAATTTGTTTCTCTAAGATGCGTTTCAAATTTAAAAGAGGCACTTCCCAATCCAACACTCCCGTAAAATTAAAAACACTATCGTTCACATAAAGAAATTTTTTTTTTAAATTTGCTAAAAACAGAAGCTATGCTAACACTGAAATCACAATACACATAACCACAATTAACACTCACAAATAAAGGAACTTCAAGCTTAAAAAAACACACAATTAAAATGCGATACTTTTGTATATTATTCTTTTCATGAGAATATTGAAAACGCGTTCACACGACCGTTCACGAGCGCAGCTAAAACAAGACTGAACCTGCAATCTCTCTCTCCCTCCCTCTCTCTGCGCGCGAGTCTAATGCTGAGTGAAAGGCCCAAGTAGAAGTGGGGAAAAATTTATTTTATGGCGCCGCTAAGGGAGAAAAACGTCTGGCTTTGTAGACCATACTTAAATTACGTTAAACCTTAGGGGATAGGTGCGGGTCAAAATATTTGTATTTTCAGATCTAAAAAGATATATTTTCAGATCTGAAAATACAGTTTTCCAGATGTGAAACTTGTCTTTATCCGATTTGAAAATACTACTTTTCAGATGTGAAATTATAACTTTTCAGATATGAAAATACTACTTTTCAGATATGAAATTATAACTTTTCAGATCTGATAATACTACTTTTCAGATGTGAAATTATAACTTTTTAGAAGTAGTATTTTCAGATCTGAAAAGTTATAATTTCTCATCTGAAAAGTAGTATTTTCAAATCTGAAAAGTTATAATTTTTCATCTGAAAAGTAGTATTTTCAGATCTGAAGATCTATAGCTTCTCATCTGAAAAGCAGTATTTTCAGATCTGAAAAGTTATAATTTCTCATCTGAAATGTAGTTTTTACAGATCTGAAAAATAATAATTTCTCATCTGAAAAACTGTATTTTCAGATCTGAAAAATAATAACTTCTCATCTGAAAAACTGTCTTTTCAGATATGAAAAATAATAATTTCTGATCTGAAAAACTGTATTTTCAGATCTGAAAAGTTATAACTTCTCATCTGAAAAACTGTATTTTCAGATCTGAAAAATAATAACTTCTCATCTGAAAAGTAGTATTTTCAGATCTGAAAAGTTATAGCTTCTCATCTGAAAAGTTATAATTTCTCATCTGAAAAACAATTTTGCAAAATTTTGAAAAAATGGTTCAAAAATATAATTACTAAAAGAAAAAAATTGATGTAAAAAATTACTAGAATTTGAGAAAATTGTAGTTACTACTGAAAAAGAAAATCAAAATCCGGAAAGAACATCAATTTACAAAAATTAAAATGAATGTAGTTATATTTTAACAGAGAATTTTTAAAGTTGCTTGCAAAAAAGTTATGAAAATATAGGTAAAAATTTGTAATTACTAAAAAATAATTATAAATTTCTCGGGAAAGAAGAATAACTTACAGGTGCTTATAGTCTCACTCTCAGTTAACCGCCATCTCAAATTCCGTTTAAAAAAATGAAACACACATTTCCACAAAAACACCCGTAAAATAAATTAATCACATTTATACATAGTAAAGAAAATAACTAATGCTAACGGAAATTGTTTCCCTAAAATGCGTTTCGAATTTAAAAAAAAATTGGCACTTTCCGATCAAACACTCCCGTCAAATTGAAAACACTATTGTTCACTTAAAGCAAAAATGTTTAAAATTGCTAAAAACATAAACTAAAATTATACTGCAACCACAATACACATAACCGCAATTAACACTCGTATAAAAAAAACTTCTAGTTTAAAAAACAAACTTTTAAAAAACGATACTTTTGTATATTATTCTTTTCAAGAAAATATTTAAAACGCGTTCACACGACAGTTCACAAGCGCGGCGAAAACAAGACTGAACAAGCAAATTCTCTCTATCACCTCGGGTCTATTGTAGGGATGGGCGATCTCGATAAAAAAAGAATCGATTTAAAAAATCGATCTCTAAAATTTAAAATCGATTTTTTTGATTAATCGACAAAAAAAAATCGTTTTCAGAATCGATTCATTTCGATTTTCCTATAAATTAATGATCAATGAAAAATATTGCTTTCTTTTTTAATCACAGGGAATTTCGTTTGCAAATAATTAACATTAAACAAATTCAGTCTTTAAAATGCACTGAAAGTGCTTTGCTTCTTTATTATTTACATTTACTTAAACAAAATTTGTTTTCTTATAGTTCAAATTAAATTTGAAAATTCAACAGTTTTAAAAATACCGTATACATATTGAACTTACTGTACACTTAGAAGCACACTACAATTATTTAAAACCATTAAATGTTTTAATAATTATTATCATAATTATCTTTATGTCAGAAGCAGTCTTTTACAAGCACTAAAAGTGCTATATTTCTCTAATTAATATTTATTTAAATAAACAACAAAAAATAAAATAATAAAGAATTTAAATAAAAACAGTCTTGAAAGTTACTAAATTATACGTATTATTATGTTTTTGATATCACAGCATGAGGAAATCCCCACTGCTCTTCACTTAGAGAAGCCATAAATGTTAATTCTGATAAGCGATCAGGATGAATTCTACTTCGGTACTTTGTTTCTATATTAGAGGCTAAAGAAAACAAACTTTCAGACGGTACCGAAGTAGCTACGACTGGAAGATATCGAATTGCTACACTGTACACTTGTGGAAACGCAAGTTTCAACTTTTCCCAGTGTTCTATGGGATTTTCGGACCTATGAAGGACAGCTTGATTTTTATATTGCCTTAATTCCACGGGTAAGCCACCTGCTTCATCTACATTTGAAAGTGTTTTATCAACGATTTTATCGTGATGCATCCAAATGTCTGCTGAATTCTGTTTTCGAATAGGTGTCGAGGAAGTTGAAATAGGTTCAGTTAGGATCTCCATATTATGACTATTATTTGCTCTCATTTCACTGGCAATTTTTTTCATGGCGGTTGCCACAGCAAGGGCACTTTTGAAATGGATCGTTTTGAAACGAGGATCCAGAATTGTTGCTTTTGCGTAAATCGGAACATTCTCAATGTTGCGAAATCTCTCCTCGATTTCAGTCAACAGAATTTGCTTCAAGTGACGCGTTATGGGTTTCACGGCTTCCATGTTATTTAAGGAAACAGTTAAACAATTGACCATTGGGATGATAGCGCTACAAGTGACATAATCTTGCGCAGATAATTCTCGAGTAATTTGTTCTATTGGAGATAACATTTCTACTAATTCTTGCAGGGTTTCCATGTCGTCACGATTTAACATTGGTGGACTACCTTTCTGCAGAACCAGTACTGCACTTACAAGAGGAGCCATTTCAATAAATCTTTTTGCCATACTAAATTCAGAGTTCCATCTTGTATCGACGTCCTGTATTAGTCTTCGTATTGTCCCTTCTGTTTTTCCTTGTAGCAACTGCAACTTCCTTAGTTCATCGGATGCGTTCGTGCTCTGCTTGAAAAAAGTAACCAATCTCTTTACGCTCGATATTAATGCAGACAATCCAGGAGTAAATTTTATGGCATTTGTAGGAACCAATTGCAAGGAATGCGCGAAACATCCCAATTGCTTCTCTCGACCAAACGTTAAATTAATGGCTTTGACCATATTAGCCGCATTGTCGGTAATCACAGCTACGACACTTTCCAGTTCTATTTTCCAATCTTTGCAAAGGGTAGCTAGTTTTTCACTTATATACTCTCCAGTGTGAGATTCTTCCAATGGAAAAGTCCCCAATTTAATTGACTGCAATTTCTCAAATTTATAATAGTGAACGGTTAAACCTAAATAGGTTTGACAAGTCAGATTATTTTTCCATGCATCCGAGGTTAAACATAAGGCTTTAACATCGGCCAATTCCAGTTTTATTTTTTCACTTAAGAATTCGTATTTCGCATCTATCGCTCGTGTTAAAGTACGTCTGCTAGGAGGCTTGTACAGTGGTGCAGCCACTTTTATTAATTTTTTAAAACCTTTTTTTTCAGATGTGTTGAGCGTTAAGTTATCCACGGCAACCATGTAAATTAACGCATCTGTTAAAGCAACCTCTTTGTATCCTCCATCTGTAAATTATATAATAATTAATTGAAGTTCCTACATTTATTTCTAAAAAATTGAGAGACGCCTGTTTATTCCCGTTTTGAAAAAGTTCTAATCATAATTTTATCTAAATTAAAAGTTTCAATTGTAAAAAAAGATCTAAATTTATTTAATCATAATTAATTTCAAATAATGTTTTTATACTTGAATAACCACTTTTCTAAGGTTAAAAAATTCAAATGAGATTTTGATCTAAAAAAAATTGACTATTGTTTATTATAAAATATTATAGTTAATTATTATTATGTATAAGCGGTAGTAAATTTTTTAGACCAAAATCCGATTTGGAATTTTTAATAGAAACAATGGTTATTCGAGTATAAAAACATTATTTTCAATTAACATTCTGTTAAAGTAAACATTCAAAAAAATATATTTTATGATGATTTGAATTAATCGAAGTCCGAGAAAATTAAGTTTTCATAGCATAAATATTTAATTAACTTACATTTTGACAAATTCGGCATTTAAATTAATGACATCTAGAAAATAATATTAGGATAAATAACATTTTTATCAGTTTAATTTTCATCTTTTTAAGGATTGGACGGTATTCTTATTATTCAACATTATAATTATGATTAAATATATTCAGGTTTATTTAAAATTGTAACTTTTAAATTAAATAAAATTATGATTAGAATTTTTTAAAAACCGGGATAAACAGGCGTCTCAAAATTGACGTATTATTATTACTAATTATTTTAAGTTTTCTTACTTTTAAAAGAATCGATATCTTTAAAAATATCATCAATTGGCATTTGATTTTTCCGCTTCCTTGAATGTTTTTCACTATTGGTATTCTAAAATAAAAAAGTCAATAAGTTTATGAAAAATTTTCTATTTGAAAAACGTTAATTTTTACCTTCGGTTCTGCAGGAATGTCTGATAGTGTAACATCTGCCACTTGTAGTTCCGTGGTATTTTCGACAATTTTCGTTTTTCCATGTTCTGGATGATACCTTTTTAAATGATTAGTCAAATTTGTGGTATTACCAGATCTTTGAACGACGTTATTGCAAATATTGCAAACTGCAGATTTCGAGTCAACTTTGACGACATCTTCCCAAACGCTACTTCTCGACCTTGACATTCTGCAAAACCGTTTTTTACACTATTATATTGATTATTTCACTTTCTACAACATTAAATATTTTAAAATAATTTATTGATAAAATATGAATAATTTAATATAAAATGTACCTCTTATAGCTTTTAAACTATTTATATATTACTTATATTGACTTGACGGTTAGGTTCTTAAAATAATATATGGAATAAATCGTATAAATATTACAATTATAGGTTTTAGTTTTATGTTTAAAGTTTCAAATAATTTTAAGTTACATACTTTAATATTTTAACTATTTTTTTACTTACTTGTTCTCAAAGAATAACACAAACTGCGACGTTATATTATAACCATGTGCGTGCACCATGTGTGAAAATTAAATAACATAACCTTCGCGATGTATTTACGATACAATTGTACGTACAGCCCTTATAGTTCGACTTCCTTGACGTATAATGCGTAAGTTGTAATAAGAATTGAAAGCCAATTAAATTCCTACTTTCTGTTATACTAGTCGACCATTGGCTGCTAAGGTATTTAAAACGTTTGCTACATAGAGATAAGAATAGAGTTCATGTGGAAAATTTATTTTAAATCGTTTGACAAGATCGTTCAAAAGAATCGATTTTCCTGATTAATCGAAAGTTCCAAAAATCGACTAAATATCGATTAATCGAAAGTAAAAGATCGATTCACATAAAATTGAATCGAGATCGCCCATCCCTAGTCTATTGCCGAGTGAGTGGTATGGAAGGAGTGAGGATGAATTCATGAGGCTGAGTCCACAACAGAAAACTTGCTTTGCAAGTTGGTTAGAGAGCCTATGTTAATACATAGGCTCTCTAACCAACTTGCAAAGCTGATCTATTTAACCACCCCTGTTGTGGACTCAGCCTGATATGGCGTTGTAAGAAGAGGAGGACCCAAGGCGGACCAATAAAATTCACAAGCGTCTCTCTCTCTCTCTCTGTTGCGCGATTTGAAAAATGGAAACACATAAGGGCATTTCAGTAGAATGATAAACTTTTTAATAAGAATTAATTTTTTTTCAAACATATTATTAAAAATCTCTTCGCGCATAAACATTTTTGTTGTACAGATATGTGATTAAAGAAAAAGTTGTTTGTTTTTCTACAGCATTTAAGAAAGAAAGCAAAAAATTGATTTTACTGAAAATTGAGAAAAATACAAGTTTGAAATTTTCTGAGAAAAGAAATCTCAATTTTTTGTACTTTTCGGGAAAAAGTGTGATAACTTTTTTGATTCTGGTTCTACGGAAAAGTGTTTAAAGGCAAAGTTGTTTATTTTTCCTCTAAATTTGAGGAAAAAATAACAAATGTTAATGAACGAAAATGATATAGAATGAGAGACAATGAGAAAGAATAAGAGAGAATGAGTGAGAATAAAAGAAAATGAGAGAGAATAAGAAAGAATAATAGGGAATGGGAGACAATAAGAGAGAATAAAAAAAAAGAGAGAATGAATGAAAATTAGTGAGAATAAAAGAGAATGAGAAAGAATAAGCAAGAATAAGAGAAAATGTGAGACAATAATACAAAATAAGATAGAATGAGAGAGAATTAGCAAGAATAAGAGAGAATGAGAGAAAATAATACAAAATAAGATAGCATGAGAGAGAATAAGAGAGAATGACAGAAAAACAAATGTTATTCAAAATTGAGAAAAGTGTCAAGGGTTAAAATACTTACTTAAAAAAATTCCCGAGTAACGTGTTTGAAGGAATTTTAGTCGATTTTTCATTTCCCAACCTACCATAAATAAAACTAAATTTAATTTAAAAATATAATAATTATTTACGTAAATAATACAACAGTTGACGGAAATTTGTTTCTCTAAGATGCGTTTCAAATTTAAAAGAGGCACTTCCTGATCCAACACTCCCGTAAAATTAAAGACACTATCGTTCACATAAAGAAAAAATGTTTTAAAATTGCTAAAAACAGAAGCTATGGTAACACTGAAATCACAATACACATAACCACAATTAACACTCACAAATAAAGGAACTTCAAGCTTAAAAAAACACACAATTAAAATACGATACTTTTGTATATTATTCTTTTCAAGAGAATATTGAAAACGCGTTCACACGACCGTTAACGAGCGCAGCTAAAACAAGACTGAACCTGCAATCTCTCTCTCCCTCCCTCTCTCTGCGCGCGAGTCTAATGCTGAGTGAAAGACCCAAGTAAAAGTGGGGAAAAATTCATGTTATGGCGCCGCTAAGGGAGAAAAACGTCTGGCTTTGTGGACCATACTTAAATTACGTTAAACCTTAGGGGATAGGTGGGGGTCAAAATATTTGTATTTGCAGATCTAAAAAGATATATTTTCAGATCTGAAAATACAGTTTTCCAGATGTGAAACTTGTCTTTATCCGATTTGAAAATACTACTTTTCAGATGTGAAATTATAACTTTTCAGATCTGAAAATAGAGTTTTTCGGATGTGAAATTATAACTTTTCAGATCTGAAAATACTGCTTTTCAGATGAGAAATAAAATTATAACTTTTCAGATCTGAAAATAGAGTTTTTCGGATGTGAAATTATAACTTTTTAGATCTAAAAATACTACTTTTCAGATGAGAAATTATAACTTTTCAGATCTGAAAATACTACTTTTCAGATAAGAAATTATAACTTTTCAAATCTGAAAATACTATTTTTTAGATGAGAAATTATAACTTTTAAGGTGTGAAATTATAACTTTTCAGATGTGAAATTATAACTTTTCATATGTGAAAATACTATTTTTCAGATGTGAAATTATAACTTTTCAGATCTGTAAAGTAGTATTTTCAGATCTCAAAAGTTATATGTTCACATCTGAAAAACTGTATTTTCAGATCTGAAAAGTTATAATTTCACATCCGACAAACTCTATTTTTAGATCTGAAAAGTTATAATTTCTCATCTGAAAAACTATATTTTCAGATCTGAAAAATAATAATTTCTGATATGAAAAGTAGTATTTTCAGATCTGAAAAGTTATAGCTTCTCATCTGAAAAACTGTATTTTCAGATCTGAAAAATAATAATTTCTCATCTGAAAAACTGTATTTTCAGATCTGAAAAGTTATAGCTTCTCATCTGAAAAGCAGTATTTCCAGATATGAAAAGTTATAATTTCTCATCTGAAAAACTGTATTTTCAGATCTGAAAAGTTATAGCTTCTCATCTGAAAAGTGGTATTTTCAGATCTGAAAAGTTATAATTTCTCATCTGAAAAACTATATTTTAACCCTCCGTTACACACCTAGGGAGGGATTCACTCTACGGTTTCAGTATTTTTTAAATAACTTTTGTTTTCCTCATTGCAAAATATAATCAGTTTCTATACCTTTCGACAATTTACCTTTCAACACATTTTTAAAAAAACATTTAGTTTAAACATAATTAATATTTAATTATGAAGCTTTAAAGCCAGAAAAAACTCGAAAAACTGAGGTTATGTTAAATAAAAAAATCAAGTTTTCAAAACATTTTTTTGTTCTACTGTTGGTTAATGACAAAATTATATTATAAATATAATTAAAATGAATTGTTTAATGATTTTTTTGCTTATTTGTTAATGTTACATTATTTTTACATGTCAAGTGTAATTCCTTTGAAGATGTGCAATCGTGTAATTAATTTTCATTCTTGAGACCGAAAATTAATTTTATTAATTTTATAATTTAGAATAATTTAGTACATACTTGTCAGTTTGTGTTAAAACTAAATTTTTGTTGATTCTTTTGTTTATGTTGTAATGTTGCTTATTTTACAATGTGGTGAGGGATTGCCTCTAAACTTGTGTAAAGTCGTAATATTCTCTCATGTGTGTGACGGAGGGTTAACATCTGAAAATGTATATTTTTTAGGAATTTTAAATTTTTATTTAATGTTTTTTGTCTAATTTTGATTAATAGTTCACACCCTATCTACACTCTAATAATGGTCATTATTCATTTTACAATTGAAACCCTGGTTAAAAATTAAAATTTATAAAAAACTCGAAAAACTTCAAAAAAAAAAGAATTTCTTAAAATACAACATTTTTTCTTCTCTTTTAAGGAACGTTCATAAACTACGTAGCACGTCTAGGGGGATGGATGTGGTCAAGCAATTGTCTACCATAAGAGGAAAAAATGGCGCTAATACATGTAATTGCGTCCACGTGGGGGGAGGGGGGGGGGGTTAAAATTTCCAAAAAATTGGTCTACGTAGTTTATGAACGTTCCCTTATGTTATTTAGCTTCATTATTTTTGAACTCTTTAAAACCACTATACTTATTTAATAGTCTCCACCCTTTGGTAAAAAATCAAAAATTATTAAAAATACCTATTCAAAAATTCGAAAAACTGAATTTCTTAAAATTCAACATTTGTTCTTCTTTTTATGGCATTTAGCTTTAATGTTTTTGTGCTTTTGGCAAATAGTTTACTTATTTAAAAGTCTCCTCCCTTTGGTAAAAAATCTAAAAATATTAAAAAATTTCGAAATACTGAATTTCTTAAAATTCAACATTTTTTCTTCTTTTTTGTGGCAAATAGCTTTATTATTTTTGGGCTCTTGAAAATAGTATATTAAGCAACCAGAGGATAAAGGCAGCCATTTCTTTACGGTGATCTTTGTGACACGAGTGGAGTTCCGAGACCGGAACAAGTGTCACAAAAATCATCGTAAAGAAATTGGCTGCCTTTATTCTCGTGTTACTTATTACAATATTTTTTATTCCTAATGCAAAAAAGTCGCGTTTTTAGATAGCAGACGACAGGGAGTAAAAATCATGCACTTGTTCGATTTGTATGAAAATGGCGGCTGTTTTCTTCCATGGGCAAGAAAAATGCATGTGAACAGCTAATTTTCTTGCCCTTGGGAGGACACGGCCACCATTTTCATACGGTCGAAGAAATGAATGACTTTCCTCCCTGTCATCTGCTATCAGAAAGCGCCATTTTTGTGCATGTGGGATAAAAACACTTTACTTATTTAATCGTCTCTAACCTTTGGTAAA